CCTCTACCACATCCTTGAAAAAAAAGACTCTCCTAGACCAGGAGCAGCCCTGGACTCAGGACACAAAGCCTACAAATGGAAAGCACCCCCAGTCTGCAACTAAATGGTGGGCCAGCACAGCTCCCTGAACGCTGGCAGCCAGGCAGGACTCACTCTGGGAAAATCGTCCAGACTGGCTGGAGAAAAGATCTGCTGACACAGGGGCCTGTCCGCACCACATGTTGGCCAGAGGCCACCCACCGGCTGTGAGCAACCTCTTCAATATGCAGAGAGTTTACCCCCAGTTGTTTGAGAGAGCCCTCTAACAAGGACAGAGCCCAGATGAGAACCCAGGGAAGAGGTGGGGAGGAAGAGCTGGTGGCATGTGCGTCACAGGAGATGGAGACAGAGACAGAGCAGAGAGAGGGATAGGGGCAGCAAGATGAAGGCATGGGGAACCACAAGCAGGAGTCCCAGAAGGAGCAGAAAGTGGAACAGAGGACACTGTCAAAGAAACAGGCCAACAAAGTTCCCCAGCACTAAGGGACAGGAGCTTCCAGACTGAAACAGCACACCTTTCATTCAGCATAGCATAATTAATGGGAATAGGCATTCACAAGGCTGATCACAAAATTTCTGGACGACCAGGATAAAAAAACATCTTATAAGCTTCCAGAGAGGGAAAGAAAAATTAGAAAGCACCAGACCTCTCAGTAGCAGCCCTAGTACTAGATGATAATGAGCAATTATATCAAAAATGCTAAAGGGAAATTATTTACAATAAAGATTTCTATACCAAGCCAAACTACAGGAGTAAAAGATCTAGCAAGGTTTCAAAAATTTATCTCCTGGGGACCTCTTTCTTCAACAAGCTACAGGAATGTGTACTGGACAAAAACTGGAGATTAAAAAAAAAACGAAGACAGAGTAACAGGGAGTGAGATGATCCAGCACTTGAGGAAAATATCCAGATTGCACGTGTGCGGGGGAAACAGGACCACAGCAATGCAGCCTGCACACACCCGTGCAAAGGGCAGACACTCTGGGAGGGAATGTCCAGATAGGCACAGGGCTGCCTTGTGGCCCTGTTGGAGGGCTGGGCAGAGAAGGCAAGAGCAGCACAGAAGATGAAGCATGGGCACATGCTGGAGGTGGGCACATCTCTAATAGTGTCAACAATAAAAATAAAAGATGAAGCAAATAAAAACATGGAGACAATCACTGACTCCAAGAGAAACAATGACTTATTTTAAAAAGAAAATACAGTAACGTGTTACATGGCTTTTATGAAGAATGCTGGCATCTTATAAACCCTGTAAAAATTGTTTTTAGAACTAGCACAGCAGGAGAGAGGATAAATGCATGTGCTGTCATCTTTCATTGCAGGAAGCCAATAAATAGTATCGAAAACTGAAAAATGAAGAAATGGTCACAAAAGAGTGTTCTCTAGAAACCCAGAGTTAGGTACATCTCCTTACACTTCTCCTAACCTTGGTGACCAGTGGGGGCAGGAAGGGCATAGCCTTTGAAGGATGCAGATACCAGACCTGGACTCCATCATGTTCTGGCTCTGTAAGATCAGGCCCCTCATGAACTCTCGCTACTGGTGGGTTGTCTACAGCAGACATGTGGGGATATGGGCCCCCTTCTGGACCTTGTGGTGAACGCTCTAAAATAGGAGGGATGTCAAACGCCTTCATCGTAAACTATCTGGTCACAAATTCAGGCTCCAATCCACAGCTTTGAAAATTCTTTTCACAATCCATCCCCTTGAATTGATTCCCAAACCATGAGAAGCAACTTTTAAAAGTTTAAAAAAATACCTTGGAAAATAGTATTTTCTAAACATGTTTTTTAAAAGAGCTAAATCAGCGATACATTTCAGAAGATCATCTCAATAAATAACCAATGGTTTCCTACCTTGCCACCTTCTTGCTGGAGAGCCTCTTCGTTGGACTGTGCAAAATCAAAATAAACAGGAAAATCGTGTCAGAGAACAGACAGGGAGGAACGGGAGGAAACAGGAAATTCAGGCTGAAGAGATATGGGGATGGGGGTGCGTCCATAGGCATGCAGCACCCTGCTTGCGAGCCAGCTCCATGCATAGAAAGGCCCACTCAGCAAAACATTCAGGAACATGGGAGCAATCTCAGGGGCTTGTCAAGGCCTTAGCAAGTCGTTATTATTCCACGTCCCAAAGAAACTTCCGATAAAGCCTCAATCAGACCTCAGTTCAGAGGCTGACCCCAGTGCCTGGACCCTCCAGCTGGTTGTACTGGGTCCAAGTCATTGGCCAATGCCATGTCCCAAATGCTTTTGAAGCCAAATTACCCTCCAAACAGTTGGTTCCCACATGAAACATGACACAGGCTCGTTTGTAACAACAAAGTTGTCACCGATTTTAACTTAGGCACTAATATTTCACACTCCAAAATCCCACCTGGGCAGCTTCCCCGGTGCCAGCACCCAGGAGCACCCAGTGCCCAGCAGCTTCCCCTGATACATCCTATGGTAATTTTGTAGCAAAGTACCTCTGGTGAGACTCCTCCCTGCGAATAGCTTTCCTGGCAGCCAGAGAGCAGATTTCCAGCAAGTTCTAGAAGGTAGATTCCCAAAAAGTTGTGTCCCCACCCCCTCTCACAGCGCCCACCCCTGTGAGGCACCAGAGTGACCTGACACCCAGTTTGCCATAGTGACACTCTCTGCAGCAGGGCCAGATCTCAGCCCTGGGTGGGCTGGCTGTTCCCTACAGATGCTATTCCTGCATTCTTCCGAGTTCTCTCTACTCTTACTAACTGATCCCTTGTTCTAGTTAGTCAATCTTTTTATTGAACTTACCCTGTTCAACTTACTGTGTGGCTCCCTCTTCTGATTGGACTCTGACTGACAGTGTATATTTTAACACAAATCTCATTTCATCCTAATGTTACTGAGACTGGCTAGGACAGACTCACTGTTCAGTCTTCCTAACCGACCTCTCAAGAAGTAAGTAGACTGTGAGTCCAGTGACAGGGTTTGTAATTTGAAAATATACTTCTGGGTAAAGCAGACATCTACAAAATTTCTACAAAATGAACTGTTTTTACAGAGGCTCCCAGGTACCTGGAAAATATGATAGCTATCAGCATCTTCTGAAGCACACTGAACAGAAATTATACCTGAACAGAAATTATACCTTTTATCTTCCACAAAACATGAAAACCAATAGGCAAGATTCAGATCTCTTTAACTGAGTGTTTAGGGGGAAATGACTGACAGCAGTAACCTGATTATAATAATAACTTTAATGGTATATTAACCAATCTTAGTAGAGTCTTTCTCAGGGAATGGGTGGCTAAAACTGGAGGTGAGACCTCACTGGGCTTGCTGGCCGTACTTAGCCACGTCCCAGCCTAGCAGAGGTGACCTTGGCAATCCTGGGAAAGAGTCTCCATATGGGAAAAGATCATTTCTATGTAAAAAATCTTCAGAGAATAAGAGATGACATACCTGTACAGGAACCTACTTAGCAGAAAAGCAAGTCTTCACATGGTAAATGACCCCTCACCAGATCACTCAGGTAAACATACATAAGAGGTGAAACTGGTTTTCCCTAAAACAAAGGCCAGTGGATCTTTGGAATCACCAGACACCACATTTTTTCAAGTCTCCCAGGAAGGCCGCCCCTCAAAGAGCACTTCCAGTCTCTCATCAGTGCTGCTGGGACCCCACCAGGCTCCCCTCTGAAGCTGCCAACAGGTCACAAATGTTGGATTCCCATCATGTCTTCTCCACCTAACTCGGGATTTGCTGGACTCCAGACTGTGTTGTGTGTATTGCACAGAACATAAGAAAAAGTGTCAAGGACATTAAATGCACTGCAATTGGAACTATAGGCTGAACAGCAGGTACAACAGGGCCAAGGCCATGAGGACACACCAGGAAGATTGAGCTGGCCTTGGCTAAGGCCCTAAAGGGGCAGGCTCCTCAAGATAAGTAAGTGGTTTTTAGAAGACTATTCTAAACACACTGAAACCATCAGGATAGCTCACATTTCTGCCACTTTTTATGTAACCTTCCACCAGTCCAAGACCCCTTCATCCAGGAAGCCTCCCTGGATTGTTGCCTGGGAGCCCACAGTACTGAACAGCACGTACCAAGTAGCCCAACCAGGGGCTTGCCCATATGACCAGCTAAATAAACAATATGCTTAGTGGGCATGTCAATATATACAAACTATCCAAAAATGTTTTCTATAACTGGAGTTTGTGAAGTTGTGAGGAGCCAGCAAAAGGAACTGTCTCCTCCTAGAACTCTGATCTGAGCTGGTATTGGGGATGGAAAGGGAAGCAAATGGTCTGATACAAACTGGACCCAGGAGATGGAGGAGAGGGAAGGGACTGATGAGGGCAGAGAACAGCAGTAAACAGGGTAGCAGAGTTGGATTCTTCTTGTAATGGAATCTGAGGCAGCCTTACAAAAGTGAGTGCAGGGGAGGGACTCACCTAGAGAATGCACACCTGATCTAAACAACATTCCTGAAAGCTGACTGCAAATCTGTTTTTAAAGACCAAATCCTACTTTAAATTTCCCATGCTGTTTCATGTGACTCCCAATTAAAGAAATCTTTCAATAAAATGAAGAAAGTATCTCTAAGTACAGACGTTCACACGATGGATTTCATCACCCAGGACACATAGCATCAAAAGATCATCTCCTCCCTGGTCTCCTCCCACAGGGACAGAAGCAGCTGATTAGACTGCAGCATGCACACACAGGAGCAAGTAGGGTGAAGGGCACCAAACACAGGCTCAACGCATGCAGGGATGGTGGGGCCAGGCTAGGGAAGAGTCCGGCGTCTGCACGCTCACCTTCAAACCACAATTCAGGCCCAGCTTTCGGAGGAAGCCCTCCAGAGTTGGCTAGCCCAAGTGAGTGGCACCTGGGGCCAGACCAGAAGGGGGCAGCTGTGGACAAGAGTCCCCCTCACCCTTGAACACAGAGCAAGGCCAGGCACTACACCAGTTACCTATTCTTTTCAAGATCATTCAGGCGAGCAGAAAGATCCTCTAGGCGGTTGATTTGTTTATGGCACTGGCTACAGTAAAACTCAAAGGCCTCATCAGTGAGGATGCTGTGCAGCTTTGCGGCAAGCGGGTCAGCACTAGAGAGACAAGAAGTGTCAGTTCAGGAGACAGCAAGGACTGGTCAGGTTACCTGTGATTCCACACAGGGCTAGAGTTGGCCAGGCAAAAGCATGTTCAGGTAATTGGCTGTGGAAGATTCTGATTCTTACTTTCAGACTGCTGTAAACCCACCTCCCTCAACATCACCTACGACCCATGACATGCACCAGCTCAAGCAGCAGGGGGCTCAGCCAAACACCTGCTCTTTCCTGCTCAGGTGCTCAGAGGAAACAAAGTAGCCCATCAGTTGCCCTTAACAAGAAGTAAGTGCCTGGACACACTGCTTCCCTCTTTGTTAAGAACTCATCAATGTGAGAGCAAAGTATGTCTCCAGGTGGAGTTTTACTCACTGCTTTAATAACTGTTCTAAAAACCACCAATATCAAAGACTATACATGAATTATGAATTGCCAGTAATTCTGTCATTTTTAAAGACTATTGTTAAAAAGTTAAAATGCTATTAGCCTTCCTGGGCTTTCAGGGCATTGGTGATGCACCTGTCAGAAAGCAGCAATATCTCTGGGACATGAGGACCCACAGGCTCTTAAAATCCAATCTGGGCCCTGACAGGGTGGCTCAGTTGGTTGGAGCATTGTCCTGTACACCAAAAGGGTTGTGGGTTCGATTCCTGGTCAGGACACATACCTAGGTTGTAGGTTCGATCCATGGTTGAGGTGTGTACGGGAGGCAACCGATCGACATTTCTCTCTCACATCAATGTTTCTCTTTCTCTTTCCTTATCTCTCAAATCAATAAACATATCCTTGGGTGAGGATTAAAAAAATTTTTTAAGCCAATTTGGAAGTTCAATTTGAGGAAAGGTTAAAGCAAAACATCAATTGTAGCACAGAAGTAGCACTTGAGACAAAGAACAGTGAGACACTGGACAAGAGACAGGGACAAACTAAAGAAACAGGAAGAGGTTACCAAACCAGGGCAGGGGCGCACACTTGGCAGGACCAAGTCCTCTGGCCTGATTTCAACACCACCAGGTGTGTGTGGGGGCAGAGAGCTACTGAAAGGAGCTACCACTTTACTCACTCGCACTCCTAGAGACACCTCTGAAAGACTCCTCACCCCATGCAGCTTAGTGAATGGCACATGGAGAAAGCAAGAGGGGACCCTGTCAGGCAGACACCCCTGTCACTGGCCCCTACCCAGGTCTTCTAGGCAAAGGAAGAATCTTGCAGTTGCTGGTTTCAAGATACTCGGCCTTTGCTGTCAGCAAAGACAGAAAATTTCAAGAACCGGGTGTAAATGAGAGGTGACTGAAGTGCAGGCCATTCAGCAGGCAAGGATCTCACCCGAAGAGAAGGCATGTTCTCTGATGAGCCGGCTACCAGTGAAAGATGGCCAGGCCCACAGCACAAGGCACACTTAGACTCCTTGTTTGGATACAAGTGCAGGCTTTCTCACAGGGCCTCCCATGATGAAGGACAACTGGGGAGTAACCAGCTCCATAAGCGAGGATCTTGCCCTTTATATATCACAGTGCAAAGCCAGAACTTTCCAGACAGTTTGGGAATGTCAGAAAATTATAAGGAAATGAATCCAAAGAATTGTTTGTGATGTTAAAGGCTTCCTCAGAGGCTGGTCAAAGGGTACAGATTTTCAGCTCAAGAGGAATACGGTCTGAGGATCTAATGTGAACATGGCGACTACAGTTAATAACACCATGTTGTACAACTGAAATTGGCTAAGATAGCAGAACTTAAATGTTCTCACATATTTACATGCACATATACATACAGCTTCCCTCAAAGTCGACTACTAATCATAATGAGATCACAACTAGTGGTTAAGGAACCCACAAAGCCAAGTATTCCAGCAAGGCTCTGTGCCACGTGGTACAGCTGAGGCCTCATAAATGTGGAGCAATCTGGGTAATATAACTGGATGAGAAAAACTTCAGCCAACTTTCACTGAGGCATAAATCTTAAAACTTGACTTTGTATATTAGTTATATTACAGTGAATAAAACAAGTTCTCTCTTACCAATTTATGAACCAAAGGAGAAACTTCCAGACAACTAAATGTGGGGTGATACAGGAGGAGGACACGTGGCGCCAGTGCAGAGGTGCATTACCTGGGAGTGAGAAAAGCAGGGTCTCTGCAGCCGTGCTCCCCATTGCAGAGGGTCTCTGGGGACAGTTCTGCCTCACTGCCCTCACCATAATCTTCAAAATGCTCCTCGTCACCTATCACTGTGACGACAGACTGGCCATGCAGGTGGGATCTGAAAAGGCGAAACAGAAAAGACACATTCTGACTCAGGGTCATGAGCAGCCCTAGAATTGAGAGTGTGATGACCACATTCTAGCAGAAATGCTGCAAGTCACATGAGTGACTTCAAATGTTCTAGTATGCACCTCATGGGACCAAGGTGACACCTGGACAGGAGGAAGAAGGAATCTTTTCAAAATAAGGCTGAGTAGATTGGATATCAATATAGGAAAAATTACTCCTACCTCACATCATACATAAAAGAGAGATAACAGATCTAAGTATGAAGGCAAAACAATAGACTTTTAAAGGAAAGCAGAAGTAAACAGAGTGATGTGGAGGTAAACAAAAATTCCTCAGAACACAGAGGTGCTAATCACAAGAGAAAAATAGATAAACTGGACTATATGGTAGAATTAAAAACATCTGTTCCTCAAGGACACGACCAAGAAACTGAAAAGGCAACCTACAGAGTAGAAAAAAGATATCCGCACGGCTCTCTCTATGGAGCTGTGGAGCAGGACAGTGCCTTTCCCCACCCTCTTCTTTCCCCAGGGCAAGCTCATCTCCAGCCCCCTTCTCCCCAGTACACCAGAACCTCTCCCCTCCCTCTCTTGTCCCCCTCTCCCATCTCTCAAGTCCCCCTCTCTCTCTTTGAGGTCTCCCCCCCATCCCTGCCCCCAAGCTCCAAGGGCCTTTCTTTGGCTATAACTTGTTTCCTGAGCACATTTCTTTTACCTCTATGACTTTCTAAATAAAATTTCTCTTATTAAAAAAAAAAAAAAAAAAANGAGATCTCCCCCCCATCCCTGCCCCCAAGCTCCAAGGGCCTTTCTTTGGCTATAACTTGTTTCCTGAGCACATTTCTTTTACCTCTATGACTTTCTAAATAAAATTTCTATTAAAAAAAAAAAAAAAAGATATCTGCAACCCACATATAGGATAAAGGACTCATCTAAAATATATAAAGAACCCCTACAAATTAGTAAGAAAAAGACCCCATGACCAACAGACATTGAGAGCCAAATCCCACCCACTTATGTGCCACTCTGCACTTTAACAGCACAGCTGAACAGTAGCCAGCAAGACCATATGGTCTACACACCAAAAAAAGTTTTACTATCTGGCCTCTTACAGAAAATGTTTACAAAATGGGTAAAAGACATGAATAGCAACTTCACATAAGAGGATCTCCAAATGGGCAATAAAGGCAAGACAAGATACAAAAGGTGCAAACCCTCATGAGTCAACCTGGGAAATGCTAGTAAGAACTATCCCACATCAACGTTCTACTCCATGCCCTCCAGAAAACAAACATGAAAAATGCAGACAGTGTCAGGTGCTGCGGAGGATGGGGAGCAACCAGAACCCACAGCACTGGCAGGTATGTAACTACTATAAGCGCTGACTCTAACCATCAGTAAGTGAAATAACTTCAAAGCTGAATATGTGTGCTCCAAATACACCACTAAGACATGTAATGTTTACAGCAGCTTTATTCATAAAACCAAAACTGTCAACTACTCAAGTGTATATCAAAAGTAAATTAAAAAGCTGCAGCATATTCACACAATGGAATGTTCTAGTAATAATTAAAGTAAATTATTTACAACTGTATACAAAAATATGGATACATCTCATAGCCACATTATGAAGCGAAAGAAGCCAGGTGTAAAAGATACTTCAATGTAATCACACAATATGTAAGGTACAAAACCTGGGAGAGTGCTACTGCCATTAAAAAGCCAGGGGGAACCAGCCAGCGTGACTCAGCGGTTGAGCACTGACCCATGAAGGAGGAGGTCGCGGTTCGATTCTCAGTCAGGGCACATGCCCAGGGCTGCAGGCTCGATCCNCACTTCAGAAGGTGACTCATTTACCCAGCTGGATCTTTTCCCTGGTGGAGTTTGAAAGGGGGGGAAGGAAAGGCAGACCTAGGAGAGGGAGAGGAGTTGGCTCAGGAGGACTGTAGAGTCAGATTGCATCCATAGAATAGATACAGTACTTCTGAGAGGAGAACATAGGAGGGGGAGTCATTTAAATTTCCAACTCCAAGAAGAAAAAGACTTTATTGAAGGTATTCAAAAATTTCACCCTCATCACAGTGTTCAAAACTCTAATCCCACAGGAGGGGGGGGAAATTGGTTGCCAGAAGAGTAGGTGGGCCCCTAGGTGTGGCTCAGTGTTTGAGTGTCCACTCATGAACCAAGAGATCACTGGTTCAATTCCCCTGTCAGGGCACATGCCAGGGTTGCAGGCTCGATCCCCAGTAGGGGACGTGCAGGAGGCAGCTGATCAATGATGTTTCTATCTCTCTATCCGTCTCCCTTCTTCTCTTGCTAAAAAATCAATAAAAACATATAAAAAAAAAAAAAAAAAAAAAAGCCAGGGTGGCCCTGGCCCATGTGGCTAAGTGGTTAGAGCATCAACCGGCACACAGAAGGGTCTTGGGTTCAATTCCCAGTCAACAGCATGTACCTGGGTTGCAGTTTTGATCTCTGGCCCCAGTCAGGGAGCGTTCAGGAAGCAACCAATCGATGTGTCTCTCTCACACCAATGTTTCCCTTTCTCTCTCCCCTCTCTTCCTCTCTCCCTTCCACTCTATCTAAAATCAATGGAAAATATTCTCGGGTGAGGAATTTAAAAAGGCCAGGGCACTTGCGAGGGAGAAGGAGGGGGTCCCCTGTAAGGGCATGTCTATACACTTATGACAGGTGCACTTCCATGTCATTATATAATAATTCAGTTAAAGAGAAAAAAATGAAAAGGTCTGTGAAGCCAAACAAGAAATGAAATAAGCTGAAAATAAAAACCAACCACTTCCAAGGTTGCTGAGCATGGTGGCTTCCCGAGAAGCAGAGGGCAAAACCACAAGCTGTCATTCAGATCCACGTGGACCACTGGAACCTCTCCTACCTTTCCCCTTTCTCTCACTGGTTCCTCAAATGCCCGGGGGCATCTGGAACGTAGTGAAAAATAGGTCTGATTAGGGGTGCCATAAAGGTGAGGTTCTAAGATCCTGACAGAAGACATTTACTGAATATTGTGTCTTGCCAGGTTTACAAGAATTGTGATAACAAAATCCAAAAGACCAAGTTAAAGTTTTTCTCCTAGAATTTCTACCTCTCAGCCAGAGAAGTCATGCAGCATTTATAACTACCATAATCTTCTGTTAGTAGGAGAGCAATCTCCTGACAGGGAAGTAAGCTGTGACCAGGAGGGATGGCTCAGGAGAGCTGGCACAGGCCGTTCTGCATGGTCCATACTCTCTTGCACATTCTGTGATGACTCTAAATCACTCTGACATGAACTCCTCTATGAAGCTAATACGCCCATCAAACACGTCCACATGGTGCCTTATGCACAATATCCAGGCCGTGCTGGGGTGGATTACAGACCTGCCTGGGAGCAGCAGCAGAGCACCGTGGCCGGGCTCCTCCATGGCATCCAGGCACTCGGAGGGCATGGCTGAGCTGCCCGCACTGTCCATGTCCCCTTCAGGCTGCAGCTCAGGATGCACCAGAGTGCTTGTGTCCTCATCAGTGAAGGTCTCACACTCGCTGTAGGTGCTCTCGGAACCCATGTATGCACTGTCTGTCACTTCATTGGCCTAAAAGAGAGTGCCAAGAGTCAGTCCTGGTACCCTGGAAATAACAATGTGTGGCATTCGGTACAACAAACTCCAACACCCCACATAGCACACTACTGCTGCGGAAATGGAAATGACCACATGGAGGGGGAGCTCTCACATGGAAGAAGTCCCTACCCTACTATATTTCTTTTTTTTTTAGGATTTTTTTTCTTTTTTAAAATATGTCTTTATTGATTTCAGAGAGAGGAAAGGAGAGGGAGATAGAAAGATAGAAACATCAATGATGAGAGAGTCATTGATCAGCTGCCTCCTGCATGGCCCCTACTGGGGACCAAGCCCGCAACCCAGGCATGTGCCCTGATCGCGAACTGAACTGCAGTCTCCTAGATCATAGGTAGATGCTCAACCACTGAACCACATTGGCCGGGTCCTACTATATTTCTAAGTAGAAACATCAGCTTACAAAACAATTTAATATTGTTTAAAAACTAAAAAAAACAAACAGGAAATATGTCCAAGTACAGAAAACTATTTGAGTAATTTTTAAAAATGTTTTTATTGATTTTAGAGAGAGAGGAAGAGAGAGGGAGAGAGAATGAAACATTGATGTGAAAGAGAATCATAAACTGGCTGCCTCTTGCAATGCCCTCTACTGGGGATCAAACCCACAACCAGGGCAACCCGGCCATATGCCCTGACTGGTATCAAACTGGCAACCTTTTGGTGCATGAGATGATGCTCAACCAACTGAACCACACTGGCCAGGGCTTGAGTAATTTTTAAAGTTATATAAATGTACTTAAAACAGATATAAAGCATCCCAACACATAATAAATCCCAGGAGAGCCACCAATTTTGTGGCTCCCAGCATTAGGATTATTTATATCCAAGAATTAGCATTCAATAATGTAAGAATATGCCTTTTAATTTAAAAAGTCATCATGAAGCCCAGACCAGTGTGGCTCAGTTGGGCATTGTGCTGTGTACCAGAGGGTTGCTGGTTCGATTCCTGGTCAGAACACATATCCAGGTTGCAGGTTCAATCCCTGGTGGGGGTGCATATGAGAGTCCACTGATGGATGTTTCTCTCTCACACTGATGTTTCTCTCTTTCTAAAAAAGTCAATAAAAACATATCCTTGGGTGAGGATTTGAAAAAAAGAAAAAAACTTAAAAAGTCACCATGATTACCTGTTATGTATGTTCAGGCTATTGCACTGGAATTCAATTACATGGTCTAATTTCAAAATACTAATTAATAAATTATTTAACCAATCAATTATGTTCACAGGTTAAATGTCTACTTTCCCACTAAACATATCTTTATTTTTACCCATATGAACTCAGTGCCTAGCACAGGGCTGGCACACAGCAGGCAGGAAATATTTGTGGATTGTACAAATTAATTTAAAACTAAAGAACAGTTAAACAGGCCATTTTCAATTTATAATCTCAACTTTAATTAAAACACAATTACACTGGTTAACAAAAGTAGCCAACATGTCACGCTTGCAAGATTCTGAGTTTAACAATTTGCAAGCAGATAAGATTTCAGAAAAGCTCGGGAGAGGTGTACTTTGTACTTGGGTTCAGGCATTACAGGAGGTGGACAGTCCGCTCAGATGTGCTATACTAACAAAAAGTCACAGTCCTGCCCCACCAGGCGGGGCTCAGTGGTTGAGCACAGACCTAGCATCCAGGAGATTGCAGTTCAGTTCCCAGTCAGGGCAAATGCCTGGGTTGTGGGCTCATTGATCCCCAGTTGGGGGCATGCAGGAGGTAGCCAATCAATGACTCTCTCATCACTCATGTTTCTATCTCTCTCTCCTTCTCCCTTCCCCTCTCTGAAATCAATAGATACATTAAAAAAAAAAAAAAAAGTCACGGCCCTTGGCTATGTTTGGGGGCAACTAGAAGGCTTCACAAAGCTGCACCCCCAAGGCTCCTTGCCCCATAGAAAAGGGGCAAAGGGCCCTGGCCGAGCCAAGCCGGTGCCTGGTGTGGCTCATGAGAGGCCAAGGTCCACCCATGGCCTGCTGTCTACCAGCCGTATGAGCCCAGACTAGAGTTTCAAGCACTCTGAGTCCTGTTGTCTCATTTGTAAAAGGGGGGTTGTAAATGCTGATCTCAACAGGTTGCAACCATATGGGATCAAGAGACCACAAAGGCAGGACCCAAAACAGAAAATGAAAGACTGTGGGGTTCACGTGTCACTGGTGGGTGGAATCTCTGCCAGCTACTTGTAAGGCCAAAATAAAATAGGCAATGACATGAAATGTACCTACTGAGGTGTTCAGTGACATTACTTATTTTCTTAATGGAAAACCCAATCTTCCTTGGAATCTATGGCAACTAAGTTCACTTCAAAATCTGAAACCAGGAAATCACTTCAAGAGGCTCTAGTTCCACTCATTCCTGAGCAGGTATGTCTCTTTCCACCAGGCACAGGCTGGCTCTGTGCTTGATTTGCAGGTAGCATAGGCAGAGGCAAGCTATCTGAGCTAGGCAGGAGATGCCAGTATGTCAGGAGGTGGCCAGAAGGAGAAACACAACTGAGCATGCACAAAATCCAGGCAAGTCCCGATGTCCTCTGAGATGTGGCTACAGATAGGCTACCCAGATGGCACTGCTCACTTGCATGGGATACTACCCAAGATCCACCCAAGGCAACCAGGAAGACCCCCACCCCATACTTCTAAGAGTAATGATAAAGAACCAGCCAGCTGAAAACTCCTACAAGAGCATTGCTCCTTACCTGCAGGACGATCCCATGGACCTCCCCCACTTCACCCTCAGTCCTTAGACCCAGGAAGCAGGCAGGGCGCAGATGCCCTAATCCTCACTACACAGGACCATCAACAGCCCTCTAGACACTAACTGGGGACCCCCGTAATGGTTTTCTGTGGGAAACAGAATTTGACTCTTTCAAAACAAACAAACCTTTTTTTAATTTATTGATTTTAGATAGAAAAAGGGAGAGAGAGAAGAACATAGATTTGTTGTTCCACTCATTTATGCATTCATTGGTTGATTCTTGTATGTGCCCTGACTAGGGATTAAACCCACAAACTTGGCACATCAGCATGAAGCTATAACCAAATGAGCTACTGAGCCAGGACCAAAACTTGACTCTTAAGGTCAGCTTTTAAAAAGTCAACCATGCCCAGCCGGGCGTGGCTCAGCGGTTAAGCGTCGACCTGGGATCCAGGCGATCAGGGTTTGATTCCCGGTCAGGGCACACGCCCGGGTTGCGGGCTCGATCAATGAGTCTCTCATCATTGACGTTTCTCTCTCTCTCCCCCTCCTTTCCTCTCTCTGAAATCAATAAAGATATATTAAAAATAAAATAAAATAAAAATAAAAAGTCAACCANGATTCCCGGTCAGGGCACATGCCCGGGTTGCGGGCTCGATCAATGAGTCTCTCATCATTGACGTTTCTCTCTCTCTCCCCCTCCTTTCCTCTCTCTGAAATCAATAAAGATATATTAAAAATAAAATAAAATAAAAATAAAAAGTCAACCATGCCCTGGCTGGTGTGGTTCAGTGGCTGGAGCGTCGGTGCATGCACTGAAGGGTCCTGGGTTCTATTCTCAGTCAAGGGCACATACCTGGGTTGTAGGTTCAATCCTGGCCCCAGTTGGGGTGCGTGTGGGAGGCAACTAATCAATGTGTCTCTCTCACATCGATGTTTCTCTCTCTCTCTTCCCCCCCTCTACCTTCCACTCTCTCTAAAAATCAATGGAAAAAATATCCTCAGGTGAGGATTAAAAAAAAAAAAAAGCCAACCAACCACCACTCCTAATAGATGCACGATGCTCTTCTCTGGGCCACATGGACCCCATGACCTCGATAGCAGCTCAGCATTATTAGAGCAAATCAACTTAGCACCCAGCTAGTATTTCTCCCCAGGGAAGGAAAGAAGGTCTGGGCACTTGGGCCTGTTTATTTCACCTGCAAGGAACTGCCATCAGTCATCTAGTTGAGGCTGGGGCTGCAGCTCAAACTCCTTTGGAGCTTGGCCAGGACGGTTCAGGATGGAAATAGTTCTCCACTGACATAGAAATAATGAGGCAGAAGCTAACAAACCTGACTGCCTCAAGTCAGGCACTCACACACTTCACTCTGGGCATCTCCCCACCTTTTAAACAGATGGAGGAGGGTGAACACGCTCTTACCTTCACCCTCCTTTCTAAAGCAAACCCGCTCCCCTGCACCAAATGAGTGGTATGCAAATGAACACTGTTCACCACTTCACAAAAGGCTTTATGTTAGCACTTACACTTTAATTTGCCCAAAATTATAAATAAGTGGTGTCATGAAGGTCCTGTCCCCACAGCACAGCTATAAACATGCAGACACCGTGGTGGGGGTACTGGGAAAAACGCTTTCATCTGGAACTCCCTATGCATCCTGGAGGCACAGACAGCAACCCAAAGGGGACAAGAGACTGATCGGCTCCATGAGCACCTAGGACAAAACCTAGGGAGGGTCAAATGGCCAGGACGACAGGGACAGCTCATTTCCCAGGTGCTGCCAAACTTGTGCAGCCCGAGGGTGAGTTTCTATTGGTCAAAGCTGCCCCAAATAAATGTCAGCCAGCAGGTAGTTTTCTAGGGCAGTTAGGTAAACACCTGCTTTTCAAGAGAGGCAGAAAGTCATCTTAGATCATGTGCATGCTCACCTATAGTCTACTAGACAAAACATAGCAGCTCGCAGACATTCCCCATCCATTAATATTTGCCACCAGAGAGGACCTAGCTTTGCCCAGAAGCCCACAAGTCTATGCCACTGACTATAAAAATGTTTACAAATTATACTTGTTCAGATGAACTCATGTGGCAATCTAAGTGCATCTTAGAAAACTTCACTCCATGTTAATGGTACCTTCACCAGTTAACAATCTGTCAACAGACAGACAAGGAAGGCCGTGTACAGAGCCACCAGTGAGGAACTCATGTGTGGCCAACCCTTTCTGGGGTCCCCACTGTCCAGGTTGTAGTCCCTCAGAGGGAAACTAACTACTGGGCACAGTGTGAGCCTGTGTCCCACCACAATACAGCCTCCTCTTACCCTCAGATGCTAGCCCAGGCAGCTCTGCAGGCTGGGCCTGGCTCCACACACCGGCTCCAGCCAGGGCACGCTCTTGGAGACAGCCTCCCCATCGTATCAGAAGTGCTAGGGCCTTCCGTCCAGACTCTCAACAGACAAGTTGTGCTGGGGTTTCTGCCAAACCTGTGCATTCACCTGAAGGTACATCGCTGCCAGGGAAAAAGTTTAACCTGCTCTCAGACATGCTCTGTTAAACCTCCTGCTGTGGCAGGCGTGGGGGGTGCGGAGGTGGGGGCAAAGTTCAGGAAGTGCCCTTGCTTGGTTCTTAACAAACAGTCATATCTCAAAACAGAATGGCTTTTGTTCTTGACTCTCTAACTTTTCTGATTAACAGTTTGTACAAAAGACACATTTCCCTGTTATATTTTATTAAGGTAGCTCTTTTCTCTAGATGCTGATAGTGGGAAAAGGAGGGAGGAACACAGGAGGTACAGCAGGGATAGTTCTTATCGGTTCTGTTTGTGCCTGTTCTATGACTTTCCCATCCCCTTCCAGAAATCCTGATACACAACGATCACCCCCTGCAGGCCTCCGGCACTCCATCCTCCACCCCATTCAGGCTCTCAGGCGAGAACCTCATTCCCTGAACGTTGGGACAAGCCTAAGTCACCTCCTCACTTCTTCCCCTTCTCAGACAGGCCACATCAGTGACTTTCTCCTATGAGTTCTGTTACCAGCAACGAGCTAAAGGGATGCTCAGGGAAATGCTGGGAGCTACAGAAACCATGAACGGCCCCGGCAGGAAAAGGACCAGAAGCAGCAGTCCATCAGTAGTTTCCTGCACAGGATCCCCTGACCAACACTGTCCTGTGCCCAGCTAGAAAAATCAATAAAAGGCTTATCTCCAAAGATCTCCACAGAGGATCTCCAAATGTGGTATCTGGATAATGCACATATTCTCCACTCATATTTTTATTGGACTTTTAAAGATTACACAATGTGCTAGCATTTTTTCAAAAGAGAGCAATCTTTCTGTAAGTTTCATAGTACCTAGTTTCACTCCCCTAAAAAGCATAAAAAGACATGGAGGAACCTTAAATGCATATTACTAAGTGAAAGAAGCCAGTCAGCAAAGGCCATACACTGTGATTCCAACTATGTGACATCCTGGAAAGAAGAAACCACTGACAAGTAAAAGATCAGTGGTTGCTGCATGCTAGCGTGGGGGGGGTGGGGGAGGGGGGAATCATGGGATCACAGAGGATTGTTAGGGCAGTGATACTACTCCTTATGATACTAAAATGGTGCATACATGACATTGCACATTTGTCAAAAAAACAGAGACTGTACACAAGAGCGAACCCTCATGTAAACTATGAACTTTAGTTAATAATAATGCATCAATATTGGTTCATTGGTTGTAACAATTGTACCACACTAAGGCCAGATGTTCATGATGGGGAAAACTGAGTTAGTGTGTGTGGAGGGTGATGGGAACTCTCGGTCCTATATGCTCCATTTTCTGAAAACTTAAAACTGCTAAAATATAAAGTGTAATAATTTTAAGTAACAAAAAAACTTAAAAAAAATATCTCCTCCATTGGGCTGGCGTGGCTTAACGGTTGAGCATTAACCTAGGATTCAGGAGATAGTGGTTCGATTCCTGGTCATGGCACATGCCTGGGTTACGGGCTTGATCCCCAGTTGGGGCCGTGCAGGAGGTAGCCGATCAATGACTCTCTCTCATCATTGATGTTTCTATCTTTCTATCTCCCTCTCTCTTCCTCTCTCTGAAATCAATGAAGACATATTTTAAAAAATATATATTTCCTCCATTCTAAAAAAATTAGGATCTAAAAACCTGAGAAGCATTTCTGTTGCATACTTTTTGAAATGTCAGGTTCCCACCATGCGATCCCAAGGCAAGAGGTGGGAGCTGGCACATCCCCCCCAGGATCGAGGCAACCACAGAGGCAGGAGGGCCAGTCATGTGGACTAAGGGGGAAATCCATTCACTCACAGGACAAAAGAGGACCGTGGTCAAATAGCACCCCTGCCTGCTCCACCCAGGTTTCAGGGGAGGCAGCCCCATTATAGTGGCTCACTCTTTCAGACCAAATGGGAACTTCAAGTACAAAATGTGTTGATGTCTTTTACTATCCTGAGTAATAAAACACTATATTAAGTTTCCTGGGGCTGCTATATCAAATTACCATAGACTGGGTGGCTTAAAACAATAGGAATGTATTCTCTGACAGTTCTGGAGGCCAGAAGTCTGAAATCAAAGTGTCAGCAGGGTTGAATTCTCCCTTCCTGTCCCTTCCAGCTTCTGCAGGGTCCTGGCGATCCTTGGACTTGTGGCTGTATCACTCCAGCCTCTGCCTCCATCTTTGTACTGCCTTCTCCCCTCTGTGTCATCTCCCTTTCTCTTCTAAGGACACTCTACCTAGCATGATCTATCTGATCTTGAGATCCTTAACTTAATTACATCTGAAAAGACCCTTTCTCCAAATAGGGCCATGTTCACAGGTTCTGGGAAGATGTGTCTTTTGGGGGACCACCATTCGATCAACTACACCGACCTACACATAAAATATTTTAAAAAACCGATGTAATGTCCTAGCAGAAATGTGAGAGGAATAAAACAAAACACTGATGATAAAGTGTATGCTCTAGGAGACATAAGGGTCCAGTGCTGACTACATAAGTGACAGGATCCTGCGATACTGCTGGAAAGGCAATTCTCCAGGTGCTCCAAACAAAAAAGGAATGCTCTCCTCCTGATCTAGCTGCACTCCTAGAAAATTCAAGATGTGCCAAACCACACAGAACCTTCCTACTCAGGCGGTGTAAGCAGCCTCTTCAGTCACAGGGGCTGGCAGTTCATCTGAAAGCTGACACATCAGAGTCATGACACCCGAGGTCTCCCACCTGGCCACACCATGCCTCGAAGTCAGTACAAATCCCAGCTAGGCACTGGCCTCCACATGACAGGACTGGGCCTGGCAGCCCCCTAGTCATACCCAGAATGAACACAGGGGACAAAAGGCAGGTGGCTTCTGCCGTTGGGGGGGGCTCAGGCCCAGCTGGTACAAAGCTGTGAAGGGTGAACATGTCCAGGTGGCCTGGTGGTAGTGGGGGGAGCCTGTCTGTGCTGACAGAAATGATAGTCAGGAAGTGAGCCTGCATTATCTGAGGGGTCACCAATCCCTAGGGCAGCTCCTCATAGGAGGGACATGAGACACAGAAGGAAAGCAGTAGAGGAATCCTGTGGTGAGTTAATATTCAGAATGGCTGCACACCGCCCCCCGCCATTTTACAAAGGAGCCAAGGCTCAGAGGACTGACATGCAAGGCGTCAGGCCCACTGGGCCACAGCCTAACCCGGCTCCCCTCACTGGGTAACAGAGGGCTAAGGGGCTGGCAGTGGCCACCACAGCCTTCCCCAAAGGCTCTTCAAGGACTCAGAAGTTTCCAGTGTATTAAAAAAAATTCCAGATCCAGACAACTGGGCTCACCTGGCACCTGCCCCACCCCACCTCCCAACTGGTGGGACACAGTGATGGTGGTGTCTTCTGTGGCTGTGCTCACAGACCTTCCCCAAGCCTTGGCAGATGAAAAATTACCATCATGTAATCATAGCAACCTTGGCTTCTTCTGGGGACAGGGGGTGGAGTAAAGCAAGGCATTAATCAAAGGTCGCTAGTAGATGCAGAAAATGGTTTGAAATTTTTTTAAAATTTATTTCACAGAGAGGAAGGGAGAAGGAGAGAGAGAGAGAGAAACATCAATGATGAGAGAGAACTGGCTGCCTCCTGCACACTCCCTGCTAGGGATCGAGCCAGCAACCAGGGCATGTGCCTTGACCAGGAATTGAACCGTGACCTCCTGGTTCATAGGTTGACACTCAACCACTGAGCAACACCAGTTGGGCTGGTTTGAAATTTGATTAAAACAGCAAAATGAGTCCCCTGCTCTGGCCTTGCTTGGCAGCCTGGCAGAAGATGACAACAACACCAGAGTCCTAACTGTTCAGCCTGTCACTCTACTAACAATCAACCCAGAAGCATCTCCTGTCAAGAGTCTCAGATGTGTAACACTCATAGTAGACACCCATTGACCATGTGCTACAGCCAAGAGCCCCACAAAGCCCAGAGCCCACCAACTATGGTGCCACCCATAGTGTACACAGGGCTGCAGAGGGAGCCCTGCCTTGCCCTTCCAGCCTTTTCTTATATAAACAGCCCAGGGAACCACTAAGTGAAGCAGGACTTGCACAGAGGAAGAGGTGTAACAACAAATTTCCTCTCAGCTCTCTCATGAAAACCACTTGCCTCAAAGGTAACAAAGTCCTCAAACTCATCAGGGCAGGCCTGTGGCTCCTCGTCCTGGGCAGGTACAATGCTGCACAGTTGGCCATCAGAATCTGCGGGAGAGAAGACCCAGACTTAGCAGGTAACCACGCAGAGAGGTCATGGGGGAAACTATGTGAGTGGTCAATGGAGCCTGGACTGGCTGTGAGAAACCCAGGGGGGGAAAAAGGTTAGGACAAGAAAGCGGGTCCCTGGCTAAAACAACACTTCGTGGCAGAGTTCTCAAGCAGTGGTGTCAAGGCCAAATGGTAACTACTTCTTAAAAGAGCTGGGCAGCATAGCAAAAGAGAAAGAGCACGATATCAGCTCTATGACACTGCTCATGGCTTTAAAAAGTATTAGATGCCAGATTTAATTTTTTGACAAACTGTACATGTTTGGGGAGGGGCAAGTATGATGAAATAGCACCAAAATAACACCTTGTCCTCAGTGAACTCACAGGTAGTTTTTCTTTTCTTTTTTTTTACTTACCTTTACCTTCTACAATAAATGTTTCATTTTATAGTACAAAAAAGTTGAAAAGAAAAGCAATCTTTTCATGATGGACAGGCTGTAATTCTGACACCAGCAATAGAAACATCACTTCTCAAACACAACCAATTCCCACAAGAAAAGGTACTAGCTTCCACAGTCTCCTGGCCATGTTCAGGTGTAACACTTTCTAAAGAGTGTGTAAGTTATGGAATGATGTTTCCTGATGTTGCCTTACTACTGTATACTGTCACATCGTAAGAGATATTTATTTGGTTTTTATCCTGACACAGAGCTCCTTAAACTCTGGGAATTTCCAGCATGATGGGGTGGAAAGAGCATCTTTTGTTATTCATTAACGAGTCCCTTTCAACCTTACCCGGGTTTAAACTAATGAGGCAACTCTTGGAGGATGGGGCTGGTTAGGGGAACCGACCTTGTGATTACAGGACTGGAACTTTCAGCTCCACCCCCACCTCTTGAGAGAGGGAGCGACTGAAGACTGAACTAATCACCAAAGACCAATGACTTAGTCATGCCTGTGTAATGGAACCTCCATAAGAAAACTCAACATGAGGGGGGTTCAGAGAGCTGGGTTAGTGAACACATCATATCAGGAGAGTGGTGCATCCCAAACTCCACCGGGTCAGAAGCCCTGCATTGTGGGCCCTCCAGACCTGCCCTATATATATCTCTTCATCTGGCTGTTAATTATAACCTGGGTTCTATGAGCCATTATAGCAAATTATCAAGCCTAAGGAAGGAGCTGTGTCAAACAGAAGTGAGGGTAACCTGGGCACCTGAAATGGGGTCTGTGCTAACTCTGGACAGTTGATCTCAGAATGAATTAAATTGCAGGACACCCAGGTGGGGTCTGCAGAGAATCAGAGAATTGCTTGGTGAGGAAAGCCCACATACTGGGTGTCAAAGAGTGAGCAGAAAAGAGATCACAGTAGTACTTATTTAAAATATATCAGTTACTTATTCAATGTTCTTTCACATAATCTAACATAACATCAGTCACTTATTTAAAAAGTGGAGTAGAGTCTTTGAGGGCCAAATGGAAGAGAAGGGCTTCCTGAATGCTCCTGGGGAGAGTACTCTGAAACGATCATTACCAGCTACAACTGGACCATGTGGGAAAAATGCTGCCCTTCACATCCCCCAATCAAGTTCTGAAGGGTCAGTGGTTTGAAGTCACTATAACAGTCAATATAAATGGGGAAGGGAGAATGAATGTTGAAGGAACCTCACCACAGAGCAATAGCTAAACACATGGCTACTCCATCCAGTTTCTAAAGAGGTCTCTCAATGATAATGCTTTCCCTCAACAATTATGCAAATTCAAGCATTTATGCATTCAGTAATTATGAGATGCCTTTGCCAATTCAATACTGCTTTGCACTAGTGATTAAGACCCTTAAACCAAAATCCCTTATATGGCTGTTGTTTTGTATTGTCTTCCCTGGGAGTGTGGCTAAATATCTGAGTGGCTCAGACTACAGTGGAGTGAAAGAGTCTCAGAGCACAGCAGGCTAGACCCGATGCAGAGGGGTGCTGGCCTTTGGCTCCAGCACTCACTGCCTGCCAAGCCGGATGACAGCCTTGGAGTCCCCTACACCGGAGATTTGGATCTTCGGTGCAGGTGAACTACAGGAAAACTATCTGTGCTCTTTTTGAAGGGGGAGAAGATTGTTGTGGACAGAAGTTTTTGGTTTCTGGGACAGGAAGGAAAGGAGGACCATTATCCCAGTGCAGTTTGAGATCACACATATATTTTGTAAATGGCTAGCCTGTTTGGGGCCTATTTTCCCTTTTAAATGTTAACAATCTTGCTTACACTTCCAAAAACTGAAACACAGAATTTAAAACTCTCAAAACTTAGCCAACCATTTCAGTCACATAGACATGTGTTCACATTCCAGTAGTGGGCATATGATCTAGGCGTCTTGCCCCACATGGTGAAGAGAAAAATGTGAACATAGCTGGCATTTTTATATTCTTGGTGGGAACTAAACAGAACCCGTCTATCAGTTTTCTTCTATAAAAACTAAAACAATTTTCAATTAAGTGGAAATTTTTTATTTTTTGGAATGAGTTTTAAGGTTCAGTAATTTAATACAAGAGAGGAAGGGAGAGGGAGAGATAGAAACATCAACGATGAGAGGCATTGATCGGCTGCTTCCTGCATGCCCCCTGCGGGGGGTTGAGCCTGTAACCTGTGCATGTGCCCTGACTGGGAATCGAACCTCGATCTCCTAGATCATAGGTGATGTTCAACCACTGAGCCACACTAGCTGGGCTTAAGTGGAAATTTTTAATGTGCATTTATCTTATTCTTCCAGAGCCTGGAGAGGAAGATGGAGGAGAGAGGGGGAAGGGAACAGTCAGAGCAATGGCCTATTTGTAACAATTCCCTCTCTGTCTCATTCTATTCCTGAAATAAGGCCTGTGGCTATGACAGTAACAATCTCCTTGCACTTTCCCTACAAACTGGGTCAATATATCCAGTCATTTGCTACGCTTCTCCTGGATACATAATAAAAGTATGACAGACAAGACAGGCTGTGTGTGGTCACGATGGCACACTGGAGAGAAGAGCCAAAGTGAACTTGCACTGAAATTCGGCTAGAGTAATCACACTTTCCACTCTTCCAAATGCTATGAAATAACATTTCACAATCATCTTTGACTTGCTTTTATTCTAATTCTACTTTCACTCTCCTTTCCTAACAAAAGTTAAATGATGAAGTCAAACTACACACAAAAAATTACAAATTACAAAAACAGTAAAGACAAGCCCACAGCCCTGAGCAGGACTGCAGTATATCCAATGCACGGGGTGAGGTGTCCCCCAAGCCCACACCAGCTGCAGTCACCTGGACGCCCAGCTGCTCATGCCCACTCCAAAAGATAGACTTGCCCTGCTGGTGCTGAGCCAATGGGCCACTCAACAGCCTTTCCAAAGGGAGTCTGGGGCTGCAGTTGAACTGTGAGGCCTCTTGACAAAAAGGTTAAGTCCTCCCATAGTGCCCACAGCCCAGTCATGCACCTCTGATCCTGATGGCCCAAACCAGCCACAGTGACCTCCCTTCAACCCCCAAATGCACAGGGGATGCTCCCCTCAGGTCCCCCACCTGGACCATGCCACCTTTTCCCAGACTTTCTCAGGGAGGCCTCCACTGACCACCTCTGGCTTCACCCTCCTCCTGAGTGCCTATTAGCTCTCGTAACTATACTGCCTCATTGCTTGTGGGCTGTCCTCCAAGAGAACGCCAGCTCCTAAAGGCAGGGGACTCTGTACTTTCCAGAGTCTGGAACAGTCTGGTTCAACAGTACCTAAACCCATAGTCCTTACAGGTCTAAGCTGTGCCCTCCCTAGGCGGCTGCCCCTCCATCCAGCCTGATTCAAGCTCTCATCACTAAAGCCTCCTCAGCCCACCCACTCAAGGACCCTGCCCCATCCGCTGGCAGGCCAACCCCCTCACCAACCCTGTCCAAGGTCTCCCAACTCTCTGCCCCCTCAACCACACACCCCAGAAGCAGACTGTCCCCCACATTCTAGGTTCTACCATCTCACTTCAGAAGCAGGGGTCTGCTCTGCACAGGCTAAAGTCAGGGCAGGTGGGTGGGGGGACATCACCTATGATGCACCCGCAATGTGGTATTATGTTGAAATCAAGCCTCGCCCTCTGGAGACACTTCTATTCCAGAATGTTCTTGCCATTGGAAAAACATGGCACTATTTTCTGAAGAACCCATGATAACTACAGGACTGGCTGGGTTGGGTTTTTTTAAATTAAATCAAAGTGGAAATATTACCAACAAGAATGCAAAAACAGACACCCAAGCAATCCTAGTGGGGTTCAGTGGTGTGTGGGCGCTGGCAAGAGGCAGGACCTTCCCAAGGTGAACTGATTTGGGGCCTCAGAGTAGCAAGGGGCTGCTCTCTGATACAGAAGGAGGTGTAGCTGTAGAGAGCCATGTGCCTAGGGGATGGGGACACACCCCATATAGCAGGTCATGTAAGCAAGGAGAGGTTCAAGTGGGAGAGCAGACTGGAGAGAGCTCTGATATAGACAGAAGAGCCCTGGCCAGCTCCTCTCAAGCAGACACAAAGAACCCAAAATCCTTCCCAGGGCCCTACCTCAGGCTTCTTTCTGCCAGCCCCTTGGAAGGACAGAGTGCCCCAGCTACAGTAGGAACATGCCCGGCAAAGGCAAGGAAGAGGGTGGAGGGTGCGGTGCACAGGCAGAGGCCCTATCTCAACAAATCCAGGGTGATAGTTGCCCATTAAGGAAAGATCAAGACTCAAGGAGATGGGCCATTCTCAGATGACATTTTCTCTCACTAGATTGATAAATATAAACTTCAAGACACATGCAACCCATGAGAAAATCACACAGTCAGCAGCCAACAACCCTTCCTGCTTGACAGATAGAGAATCAGCCTCTAGAGAGACAGCTCCTCTCCCTCACCAGGGAGGTCAATGGCCAGATAATTTTATTACAGTGGACTGGGTTGCACCTGCCTGAATCACAAGTTTTTAGGGAGCACTGACTCCCACGTCATGATCTCCCAGGAATCCTGCAGAGGAGCCTGCTCCATTTCGTACTAACCGTGGCCCAAAAGAACAGAGAGCAGCCACCAACCTAGACTTTGACTAGAGAGGGCCTCAGAGCCATACAGATGGCCCCAGCACCATCTCTCACTGGCCACTGCCCACACCCATGGACCCAGCTACCACTGCTGCTCCCAGCCTTGACACTTGAGAGGAATCTGGGCTCCTCAACCACCTGAATTCGAGGAAATACAGTCTCAACCCTCGGCTGGAAGGGGTACAGACCACCAGGGGCATGTCCAAGGCCGAGAGCTCCTCCGGGCCCTTTGGTTTTAGTCCCAGGAAATACACTGATGTCATCATCCCCTGTGCTAAGGTTGTGCAGCTCAACCCCCACCCGTCACACTGACAGCAGCAGCACCTCCCCTGTTGTTCCCTCCCTCATTGCATGCTCTGTACATACAAGGTCCCTGGCTGCTGGTTCATCACGGGGTCTCTGGGCTGTGCTGTATTCATATGTGTGTGGACTGACTAGGTGAAAGAAGTAGTAACACACAGGGCTCCATATACAGAATGCTACTCAAAGCCATCTGGGACTTGGTGTTTAGGAAACCCAGGCCCTATGTGACACTATTGGGCAATAATTTTGGGGAGGTGACATATAAGACAGGTGAGACTCGATCACAACTGCTAATAAGACCTCGGGTCCAAGGGTACCCCCCTTGACTGGGCCACCATGATGACTGTGGGCTCTGCTGTCTCTTTATGCCCCTCTTTCTCTGACAAGGTGCAGTAAGGAGGGGAAAAGCCTGTGACTGGTGACTTCCCAACACCGTGACCCCAACAGCACCTGGCTGAAGATGAAGAATGAGAAAGAAAGGTCTATTCAGAGCTTGAGTTTCATTCGAAGAGGAACATGCATGGGCAACTGGTAAGAGAGTAAAATAGTACAACCACTTGGAAGAAAATCTGGCAGTTTTGCAAGAAACTAAACTCACACACACATAGCCAGCCACCCTACTGCCAGATACAGGACCCCAAGAAATGAAAACGTGTCTACACAGGCCTGCACACGAATTTCACTAGAAGCTTTATATATAACCCCAAACTGGTACTACCCTAGCTTCAAACAAGTATCCATCCTTGGAGTACAAGCATATGATGGAGCACTACTCCACAACAGAGAAACAGACTCTTGATACTTGAAACAACACAATGAATTTCAAACATCACACACAGGGGAAAAAAGCCAGACGAAAGAGCAGATACTGATGATCTTATTTACATGAAGTCCACGAGAAACAAAACTAATCTATGGTGACAAAAATCAGCAAAAAAGGTACCAATAAGAGGGAGGGATTACTGGAAAGCCATGAGGGAACTATCTAGGGGGATGCTAATAACTCCTGACAGCGATATGCATTACTAGACCTAAGAATTTGTCAAAATTCACTGAATGGCACACTCAAGGTTTCACTGTGGGTAAATTTTTACTCTAAAAAGACTGCAAACAAATCTTGAACTCTGGGTGAGGACTGATACCACGCTGAAGCGTTTCGGCTGAAGTGTATGGAAGTATACGGATTTGAAATGCATCCCATTAGAAGGAAAATAGACAGTTGAATAGATAGGAACAGATATGGTAAAATTCTGCCTGCAGAATACAGATGACAGATATACATACGGGTGTTCACTTGTAACTCTCTCAAAATTTTTGTAAATGTCAAAGTTTTCATTAAAAACTCTCTGGGGAAAGTGGCAGTAGCTCTCTAACATTAGGGATAAGTAATTAAGTCGGTCAAGTCTGGAAGACAGGGTGTATGAGGAGCAAAGAACAGGAAAGGAGAGCGAGCATCCTGAAACCAGGGGCATTTTAGGTGCTTCAAAGAGCAGGAGAGACATTAAGTTCAGCAAAAGGAGTCTGAGGAGTGAGGGTCATTAATAAGGGGTGGCTGAGCAAGAGGGAAGGACAGTGGTGGAGCTGAGGAAGGGGTGAGGTGATGAAAGCAGAGTAGGGATAACTGACCTCCATTTCTGATCGCCGTGATCCCGTGGTAGAAGTCTTCAAAACTGATCACGCCGAGCCCACTGGGATCCAAGTATTTTGTTAAGTCCTTCACCTGCAATTGCCAAGTGAGAATATGTTACTCAAGTGCTTACAAAATTGGAAGGGGAATATCATGCACTTGACCTTTTCACCACATCCAGAGAAGCAGCCTACTTGCCAGGTGCGGTGCTGAAAATAAGAGCCACTGGTTCCTCTGAGCCAAAGGTCACCAACAGCTCCAGACAGAGAACAGGCAGTAAACTAGGGAGAAGGTGCCAACAGCACCTGGGAATCATGGAATAAGATCCTGCTCTCAAAAGTCAATAGCCACACTTCTTGAGTGGAAAGATAATCTGGAGTCAACATTTTAGGTATTATTCTAGCCAGTATCTGGACTACTACACATAGCACAGACCCAGGCATCCATTCTGACAGCTGTGCAGAGTTTTTAGGAAAAACAACTTAGGCAAGTAGACCTAAGAATCATAAAAAGTAGGATAATTCACACATGAATATTACAGAAAATGAAAATCTTCAGAAAGAAGACACATTTATATTTCTAAGTATAAACTGGATTTCATCTACATTTAAAAGTTTTGCACTTCAAAAGCCATTAGTAAAACTAAAAGATAAGACAGACCGGGAGAAAATATTTATAAATCATATATCTGATAAATGACTTGTATCTAGAATGTATAAAGCCCTAACCGTTTGGCTCACTGGTGAGATCATCAGCCTGCAGACTGACGGGTCTCGGGTTCAATTCCGGTCAAGGGCAGGTACTTCGATTGCTCAATCCCTGGCCCAGTTGGGGTGCTTGCAGGAGGCAACCAATCGATGTGTCTCTCTTTCTCTCACATCGATGTTTCTCTCTCTCTCTTTCTCTCCCTCTCTGCCTTCCACTCTCTCTGAAAAACAATGGACATCCTCGGGTGAGGATTAAAAAAAAGAAGAAAAACAGAAATCTCACAGTACAACAAGAAGACAAAAATACAGTATTTTAAAAATGGGTAAAAGACTGCCCTGGCCGGTTATCTCAGTGGTTAGAGCATCTATCCATACAGTAGACTATTATTCAGCCATAAAAAGGAATCCTAACACATACTACAACATGAATGAACTTCAAAAACATTTGGCTAAGTAAAAAGGCCAGACACAAATTATATCCTTCATCTACAGGAAATTTTCAGAAATGACAAATCTATAGAGATACAAAGCAGATTTGTGGTCGCCTAGAAATTGTGGGGTGGAAGTGAGATGACTGCTAACACACAAGAAATCTTTCTGGGGTGTGGAAATATTGTAAAACTAGGCTGTGGTGATGACTACATAACTATAAATTTAATAAAACTCAATGATTTGTACACTTGCAGTGGGTAAATTTTAGGGCACATAAATTATACTTAAACAAGCTCTTAAAAATAAATGAATAAAGGCCTTGGCCGGGTTGCTCAGTTGATTACAGCGTCATCCCAATTTGGCAAGGTTGCAGGTTCAATCTCCCATCGGGGCACACACAAGAGGCAACCAATGAATGCAAAAATAAGTGGAACAACAAATTGATGTTTCTCTCTCTCTCTTTCTTTCTCTTTCCTTCCTCTCTCTATAAAAAATAAACAAAGACATAAAAAGAATTCAAGAGAAAATGACAAATACTGAAGAGTAAGGCAATGATACATCAGTATGGCTAACAGAAGTCCCTGAGAAGAAAAATCAAAGCAAAGTTACAGAACAAATCTTAAAACTATATTTAAGAGAACTTCCCTTAAAAAAATTAACTGCATATTGAAAGACTACATGGTGTACCTAAGAAAATCAACTCCCAGTCCCAAAGGAGCTACTTCAAGACTTAATCTGGTAAATTTTTTGGACTTTAAAGGGAAAAAAATCCTTTGAATAGCTATGTGAAAATCAAGTAACTATAAAAGAAAATCATTTTATCATTAAACTTTTCAGCAGCAACACAAGAATATTCAAATTCCATCATCCCAGGTATTGAGGAGTAGGGTCCCCACATCACTATGAGTATCACGCATGCTCTATGTTTTTTTTTTAATCCTCACCCGAGGATATTTTTTTCCATTGATTTTTTTAGAGAGTGGAAGGGAGGGAGGGAGGAGGAGAGAGAGAGAAACAGAGAGAAACAGAGAAACATTGATGTCACGGAGACACAGTGACTAGTTGCCTCCTGAATGTGCCCAGACCAGCTGGGGATCGAACCAGCAACCCAGCTACGCGCCCCTGACCAGGAATTGAGCCTGTGACCTTTTGGTACATGGGCTGACGCTCTAACCCCTGAGCAAACACCAGCCAGGGCTCAAGCATGAAGTTTTAAAAACAAAACAAAAACCTTCTAATTCTGCCCAATTAACATTGAGCACCCATAGCCCCTAGGTTGTGATATTTAAATTCCATTTCCATTCAAAGGAATCAGCACCCTTGGAGAAATGCCAGGCTATGTGCAAGTTGAACCTGGAATATCTTGTCATACCTGAGAGCAAAGAAGCTATCAGAGACTTTATTAGGTCACATCAAAGAACTCAGGCATAGCCAAAACTGAAACAATATGAACACTGATGAGAATGATAAATACAACAGACTGAAACACACTACATTTTAATCAATGAAAGCATAATTATGGTAAAAAATAACTAGTCATCATTGAAGGACACTAATGAACCAATTTATCATTGTGAAAACTAATAAAGGGAAAAGAACCATGCAGTTAGCCTACCTTTCCTATTCAACTGTTACTCAAGGTAAGCAATGGTAGTCATGAGGGGAAGTGTCTCTTTAAGAAGCATTCCAGTGCTTGCTTGTGCAGCACACATATAAAATTGGAACAATACAGAGATGGCCCCTGTGCAAGAATGACACACAAATTCGTGAAGCACTCCACATTTTTTAATAGACTCAAAATGGATAAGACTTAAATGTAAGTCGTGAAACTATAAAACTCCTAGAAGAAAACATGAGCAGCAAAATCTCAGACATCTCTCATAACAATATGTTTCCAGACACATCTCCTAGGGCAAGGGAAACAAAGGAGAAAATAAACAAATGGGACTACATCAAAGTAAAAAGCTTCTGCACAGCAAAGAAAACAATCAACAAAATGCAAAGGGAGCCCACTGTATGGGAGAAGATATCTGCAAATGATACATCTGATAAGGGGTTAATATCCTAAATATATAAGGAACTGATACAACTTAACAAAAGGAAGACAAACAACCCAATTAAAAAATGGGCAAAGGGCCCAGCCAGCTTGCCTCAGTGGCTGAGTGTTGACCTATGAACCAGGAGGTTCCCAGTCAGGGCACATGCCCGGGTTGTGGGCTTGATCCCCAATGGGGGGCATGCAGGAGGCAGCCAATCAATGACTCTCTCATCATTGATGTTTCTATCTCTCCCTCCTTCTCCCTTGCTCTCTGAAATCAATAAAAACATTTTTTTTTTTTTAAAACAGGCAAAGGACCTAAACAGACACTTCTCCAAAGTGGACGTGCAGATGGCCAAGAGACATGAAAAAATGCTCAAAGTCACTAATCATCAGAGAGATACAAATTAAAATGACAATGTCTCACACCTGTCAGAATGGCTACCATCAACAAATCAACAAATGACAAGTGCTGGCGAGGGTGTAGACAAAGGGGATGTTTCTAATGATCCCAGACCAAAGTTCTCCATTCACAGGCTTTCAGGAAAAAAAAATAGTAAGATTGAAATATAAGAACCTGCCCTTTCTTGAACCAAACCAAGAGATGTACACCAAGAACAGTCAGCAAGCCAGCACTCTCCTGCGAACAGACACATCAAGTTACAGAAACTATGGGAGGAGAATCCACTCTGCAACCATCTACAAGGGAAAAGAGCTGGGTCCTACAGGATTATTCTAATATGAGAAATTTACTAACACATTATATTGATTCTGCAACAGATGTGGAGACATAATCTGCAAGAGAAGAATGCAGAACAAGCTCTCTAACTACAGTTTAACACCAACTACAGAAGTACGGCTCACAGAAATCACACTGAAAGTACAGCACTTCACAGGGAGAAACTACCCCCATTTCTGCACCTTGTTATGACAACCACACTTGAATTATAACATTTTCAACAAAGCTTATCTTATCAGAAGCTATTGTGACACTATTAAGCACCTCAACCTTTCTAACATTTACACAACACTCCAGCCAACAAAAGTAGAATACATATTCCTTTCAAGCAAGTGCTCATGAAACATTTACCAAGACCATAAAACAAGTTTCAACAGATTTAAAAAATTTCAAGTCAATACTAGCCATTAGGGAAATGTAAATGAAAACAAAATAAGGTGCATACACATCTTTTTGGGCATCTAAAATTTAAAAGATGGGCCATACTGTGTACACCTAGTGTTTGTAAGCACATGGAGGAACTGGAATTCTCATACACTGATGTTGTGAATGTAAAATTACATAACCACTCTGGAAAACTGTTTGGAAATTCCTTAAAGGGTTGACCATATATCTACCATAAGATCTAGTCATTTCACTCCCAGGTATTCACCCAAGAGAAATGAAAGCATGTGTCCCTACAAAGACCTACGCATGAATGATCATAGCAACTTTGTTTGTACTGGCCAAAAAAATTCCCCAAAAAACCACACCAAACCACCCATATGTCCATCAACATAAGAACACACAAATTGTGGTATTCCCTAAGATTTTTTTTAAAAAAGAATCAGTAATGGTGATAAGCAAACTGTTCCTAGCGATTCCCTTGGCTATTCATAAACTTCACACCAGACCTGCCAGTGGGGAGAAAAGCAACTCTCAAAAGCCTAATTACAGATCATTTCTGAATGTCCATACTGAGGCCTGCAGCTTGCCTACCTCATGGCACCTGCATTTTTCTTTTAAATATTTTTTTTATTAAAATATATTTTTTTCAATTAGTTTACACTCAATATTATTTTGTATTAGTTTCAGGTATACAGCACAGTGGTTAGACAATCATATACTTTACAAAGTGTTCCCGCTGATATTTCTAGTACCCACCTGGCACCATACAGAGCTACTACACTATTACTGACTGTAT